GAGTGTAAGTGTATGCATATGCATGTGTGCCTGTGTGCACGAGTGTGTATGTGTGTGTGTGTGTGGATGTGTATGTGGAACTTGCACACTCTCACCATGTCATGTGGGCTTGTTACTCCAGTTTCCTGCCATTTAGGTGAAATGGTGTAAAATACCCATAACGAGTGAAGCTGTACGCCCTGTTATGGACTGGCATCCCTAGGGTGTCCCCTGCCTTGTTCCCTGTGTTTTCTGGGAATCACTGCAGGTTCAATGCAACCTTGTGCCAGATAAGCAGGTGGAAGATGGGTGAAACTTACTGATTTGTGATGTAATACATTAACTGAAATCTGATAGGTTTAAGGTGCTTCCCCTAAGTGTTTTTATGGCGATTGTTACCGGGACCTCGTGGCTCTGCATGCCTAGAGGCTTAAACTGTATAGATGCTTGTTTGGATAAACTCGACAACTCCTGGCTACACTGTCAACCAGCTGGCTTTGTCACAGTTAAACGTTAATGCTTGAGGGTCACTTACTTTACATTTATTAAGTACGAATGCGATATACCCATAACAACAACAAATTTATTTTTGTATAGCGCATTATCACAACATTACATCGTCTCAAAGCGCTTACAGCATCCCCACCCAAAGCCCCCAGTGAGTAAGCCATAGGCGACAGTGGCAAGGAAAAACTCCCGAGAAGGAAGAAACCTTGGGAGGGACCAGACTCAAAGGGGGAGCCCATCCTCCAGGGGCCGGCAGGGAGAGTCAAATCGGATTAGATTTACCCGTATGTAAATCTAATACAGCCCTTCATTGATGTACTGTAAGAGAGTCTCTTTCAGTTTCTGGAGTCAGTATGTGGCCGTGGAGAGAATGTGATACAGTCACGTAGCTTCCTCAAGAGTTAGCCTCTCAACGACTGCACTGCTACGTTTGCCCTGACATGGCTGGCCTTCTGATACCTTCGCTGTCTCGCCGTTTGATGCCTTGCCCTGCCTCATCTCCCTCCTCTTATGCTTCCCTTTTGCTAACCTGTCATCCCTGGGAAGGGTGTCCCATTCATCAGCGGGGTCCGGATTGCCCTCCCTTCCATCTCTCCAGTTCCGCCAATGAGACCATCGGCGACAGATTGTCTCACAGGGAGCGTGGTGGATTAGTCGCAGCCTCGCTCACAAGCTGCCCTCTGGGAAGGACATGCAGGGACAGGTAGGGGCATTGGAAGGCAGCCCCCCCATGACTGCTCAATAGCTGTCACTGCTGGAAGGGGTTACAGTGTGTTGACAATCACTGCCTTAACCCAATAGCAGGGATCACAGAGTGCTGTCAATCAGTGCTTTACCTCAATGGGAGGGGTTACAGTGGGCTATCAATCACTGCTTAAACCTTAATGGGAGGAGTTACAGTTCTATCAATCACTGCTGTTACGAGCTCCAGTTTAGGGTTGGAGCCTGACAGAAAGGAAAGGGAAAGGGGAGGTCAAGACAAACAGGCAACGGAAAAAGGGAACACGAGTAACAAAGGGTTTTTTTCCCATATTTTTAAATATTTTATTCACACCACACAGAGACTTCACCAAACACCTGGTGCAACAAGACTTTTGGAGTGACTGAGGCCAAAACAATAAACAAACAAACACCTACCGAACACATTCCCAAAGCTAACCTAATCCTACGTGCAACAAAACAAAGTGGAAACAAAACAACAATCCTAAACCCCGATTCCCTAACCAAACGAACATTAAATGGCAGCCACTCTGTACACACCGATTCACACACACGCGCAACAAATACACAATCCGAAAATACAGTGTCTGAGAGGGCGAGCAAAAGAGTGGTCAGTAATCAGGCGGGAGATCGAAAGCCAGAAATGCAATTAAACGAAAACAAAAGTACAAAAGGGGCAAAGCGAAAATCAGAAAACCAATAAGCAAAACTGTCATACACAATAAATCCAAAACCAATAAAGCAAACCAACAATAATCAAAGCAATGAGCAGAGCTCTCGAGGTTTCTCTTTGTAGGCTTTTCAGGTCGAGGAGCCAGAAGTGATGAACGGTGCATCGGGCAAGTCATGGGCGGGGTCTGGACGGCGAGGAGGAGCGAAGGGCAGAGCTGAAGAGACAGCTGGCAGGTGAAGACCTGAGGGCAGAGTCGAGGCCACCCGCAGCCACAGCCACAGGAATTCTTTACGGCACATAACACTGCTTTAACCCAAAGGGAGCAATTACAGTGCGCTCTCAGTCACTGCTTTAACCCAAAGGGAGAGATTACAGTGTGCTCTCAGTCACTGCTTTAACCCAATAAGAGGGATTACACTGGGCTCTCAGTCACTGCTTTAACCCGACTGGATTACAGTATGCTGTCAATCACTGGCTCAACACAGTGGGAGGTAGGTAAAGCCAGTGAGTGACAGCCTCTCAGTGTTGGTTTGCAGTCTGGAATTTCATGCTGTTAGTGTTGCGTAAGAGTGAAAGTGGGACTTTGGCTGACCTCCATCATTCTAGATTGAGGAGAAACCGGACAAGAGACAGACACACTAAGTCAGATGTTACGAGATGCTTTTTAAATGCAATTGCTGTTCACAATTTTCATTTTACTTGCTTGCCAGTTTAGTTTAGCTGTAAACCTCCTAGAACAGACAAGGTGAGGTGCCCTTTACACCATGGCCAATTCTAATAGACATTTTCATCAAAATGCAATTTTTACAGGTATTATTTAACAACATAGCCTACAAAGATTTAATCTTCCCCAATCAAAACATCTTGGTGACACAGAAGAGTCTAGTCATGGGTATGTTTATGCGTATATGGCCAGGCTGACACTGCCTGACCCTGTACGCTAATACAACAGTAAGGCCCTGGATGCTGATCTAGCCCCTTAGCTGCTATGCCGCCTGCTGGGTGCTGGCAGGCGAGTCAGAGGCATGACGACAGGGGGCAGGGCCTGCTGTGGGGGCACTTCCTGTGCTGCTCTCGGCCCTCTAATCCCTCTGATCCCTCCTTGCCCTGTGTCGTCACCCCCGGCTCCCTCTCCCAACGCGTCTCACCTCTCCCGCTTGTGGGACGCTTGGAGGTGCCTGCTCCTTTCTCTCTTCTCCCTTTTGCACTTACTCATCCTCCCGCAGCCCCTGGCTGCTCCCTCCCTCCCTCCCTTCCTCTCTATCCACATGAAATATTGATAGCTTTCCCGAGTGTAATTACACAAGCAGAATATTCCCGCACCTACAGAATGACCATCACTCGTCTCTGAGCTGTCTCCAGTTTAATCCCTGTGTGATCCTTTGGAAGAAGCTCTCAGGATATATGGATGCATTATCCCATCCTTGACGTTGCTTCTTTTAAAAATATGCTTTTAACAAAGCGAGAGATTAAAAGATTAATGGGGTTCTTGCTTGGCCATTTTGTTTCTCAGCTTAACAAAATGTTTGCCTTGAGGAGACCTGGGTGTGTAATTGAAAAACCCCTAAAATGATGCAGCTTTTTGGGGTTCTGACTCTCCCCGGCAGCGTGACCAAAAAAGCATGCTGACACTGTTTGTAATTGAATTTAATCTCAAGGTGGAAACATGGCATTCTCCGGGGGCTGGCCGCCGTTATGCTGACAGTACCGTGTGACCTCATGAAGGGAACGAAGGCCAGTCAGGTCCCTGCCAAGGGGACTGGCCGCTCGCCATGGCGTGTCGCACGCGCTGTCCTGTCCCAGGCTGCCTCCGTGCGGACGGCAGGGCACACGGTGCACCTGGGGCACCTGAACGGGAGCGGGGGCCTGAAATGCTCCTCACGTCCCATAGATGCCCTCTGCAAACCAAGGCACCATGGTGTGATGCTGCCGGCAAGTTCCCCCGAAATGCTAAAAGAGGATGTCGTGTTTCTGCTTTCAAAAGGAGGGAATAAAAAGGAGAGAGGTATCCCACCTCTCTGAGTCCTCCTTTCTGCCGCACTGGAGGGGAGGAGAGGGAGGCATGGCAGGAGAATTTGCTGGAAGGTAAACTCTGTGGGGGGGCCAGGCAGGGAACAGGGGATGACGTAAACCAAGAGGAGGAGATCCTGGGGGCGGGCATGAATTTTTTATCTAACGCTCCACTGCTCCACTGCACATGGTCTGGCTTGCAGTCTAGGGGTCCCAGGGCAGCAGGCCACCAGGGTCAGGGTGCGGGGGGGGGGGGGGGGGGGGGGGGGGGGGGGTTAAATAGTGAGCGCGGGTGCCTTAATAAACCCTAATTGGGGAAAGTAGAACAGAATTTTTTTTT